ATGTTTATCGACTGAGGCTTTATATATGTCCAACAAATAAAAATATTAATTTATTATTTTCCACCATCTGTAAATAATAGACTTTGGTAACATATGTTAATTGATGTTTTCTTTTTGAAACGCAAATCAATAATAATCAAATCATTCATTTGTAGATTCAAAATAGCGTCAATTAATGAAATCGTTTTTAAGTACAAGACGAATTGATCTCTAACAGGTCCTTACTAAAAATTTATGATTATTTTCGAATATCTATCTGTAGCTCAAATGTTTTTGATTTATCGAAACTTAATAACTATCTAAATCGTTTTGTTTATTTTATATCAATAACCTAGTTAGGTGAATAAATTCATCAAAGATCTACTTATTTTGCCAAAATAAATTGTAGTCGCACCTCTGTACTTAACACATACCGACATCTATCATTTAAACTTCTTCGTTGTTCGTTCATTATTATCCAATCATATATAATCCTTTCTTTACTCAATCTTGTATTGTTATGATACAATATCACGCCTTTGCTGTGAAACGCACTTAAATACTCAATTTTTAATTGACTAAATAGTCATTATCGCAGTTTTAATATCTCAATGTTAATAACTATCATTTTATTGGTTATATATCATTTAAAATATAATCATGCGTAATTGAATGCTTTTATTTGATGAATGAATCAATAGACATATATTAATAGTTAATGTGTAAATTTTAGATGTATAGTATCAATGACATCGTCCAGTAATAACGATGATACTACATCAAGTGATACTGATGATGAATCAGTTTTTTATGATGCGAATAGTAGTCCAACTAATAATGACATAAAAATGTAAATATTTTGTTAGAAAATTATTAAAATGTTCTTATATCTTATAAATAGATCACTTCAACAAGAACCTCGATGGAGAATACCATCAAAACAAGAATCATTAAAAACATCTGTATATAAGTTCACTCACTATAATCATGATTTTGATTTTGATGTTTTGTTTTTTAGGAAAATTTTTCTACAATTCCATTAACTGAGGATCAGCTACATGATATTCAAAGACGTGATAAACTTCAACGATTACGAGATCATGATAATCAAAATAGTCCAACTATAACAATTAAATCTCCAACTGAATCACCACAACTCGCACGATCAACAATAGTAGAACAAAAATTAAATGATAATAATACATCACCAACATCTGACGAGCATGTTGATAATGAATATAATAGACGTCATAAACAGGTTTGTGAATCAATCAAACATTGCGTGATATACATAATGAACAATTCTTTTGAAATCGAATGAATATTTTATGATCTATACTAAAAGTTTTTCTTAATGCATGTATATTAAAAATAGATATTCTGTCAACAATTTTAAGTAATCAAACCTTTGACGTATACATAACACTACATATAAGTCAAAATATTCTCTCATTTTTGTGGTATACGAAGTAATGATATTTTGACTATCTGTCACTAAAGTATTTTAATAGAAATAGTCGTTCGCTTAGCATTTATTTAAAGAATCTGACAGACTGCAAATGAAAAAATCTTATCAGGATTCTATCGAGCTCGAGAATATATAAGGATTGACGCAGTTAATAATATCCAAACCATTATATTTACTAACATTTCAGCTAGAACATCTATTTTGTTTTTTTTATAGAGTTCGGCATCTACAACATCAAAACAAACATTCTCATATGTTTCTCCTGCATCCAGTGAACAATGGTCACCTGCCTACTCAACATTATCAATAGCATCAGCAAGTAATACAAGTGGATATTATTCAAATAGAAACATATTATCAGCTAGTAGTGAACCAAGTATAGTTGATTTACATACAATCGATCGTATAACAAAATATGGTGAATTATCTCCCAATAGTCGAAAATTAAATGATGATGAAATTCTTCAACAACCCATTGTACGTAATCTTGATAATGGAAAATATATGCCATTAATTGATGCTAATCCAATGACACAAACAATATTGGAACGTGTTCGTCGTAGTGAAAGTATGATTCCATCACGTCGTGGTTCATTAATAAATAGTAGTCTTAGTTTAAGACAAAAATCTATCGATAATCTTAGAAAATCAGCAATGAATCTTTCACATAAAACTTATCATAATGATGATAATGAATCGACATCATCAGAATCTTCAAATCATACAGTAGCTACATCACCACCAATAAGTAATCAATCATCACCAACAACTGTACGTCGAGGAACATCAATAAGAAAACAATTAGTACATTTAGTTGCAAAAAATATTTTACGTAAAGAAAAAATAAAAACAATTGATGATCGTCATGATACAGGTGATGATGAAGAAGATGAGACTGGACGAGTATTAATAAATGATGGTTCAAATGGTGATTTAAAATATAAAGCATCAAGATATTTAAAAGAACCAGCACAATTTGATAAAACTCAATTATTACAAACAATTGTTAATGCACATAGTGGACCTATTTGGTGTATGAGGTAATTATATATATTAAATTTGTTTTTTTATTTGTAATGAATTAAATCTAGATTTTCTCCTGATGGTCGTCTTCTTGCAACAGGTGGTCAAGATAGTTTACTTAAAGTTTGGATATTTAAATCAGCACAACCTTATTTTAATGATTTTTCTCAATTATCATCAAATTCGTCACAACAACAAAATGAAATTTTAGTAAATAAATTTAATGAATTTCATCGAACAGTATCGTCAGAATCAGCAATACCAACAATTAATGCCAAACTTGGTCTTAATGAAATACAAGCACCACTTTATACAAAACCTTTTTGTGAACTTGCTGGACATCAAGCACCTGTACTTGATGTTGCTTGGTCAAAATCATTATTTCTTCTTTCATCATCAATGGATAAAACAGTTCGTTTATGGCATTTAAGTCGATTAGAATGTTTATGTTATTTTCGTCATGTGGATTTTGTTTCCGCAATTGCTTTTCATCCACGAGATGATCGTTTTTTTGTTTCGGCAAGTTTAGATGGGTAAGAAACCGTAATCTAATATTTAATCAACACATGATAAAGTCTTTAGAGATTACATGAAAAAAAGATTATCATTAGATACTTAACTAGTTTTTCTTTTGCTTACGATAGAAAATATTTTACATTAAATCTTCGGGGAATATACAATGTCGATATTCATATTGACATATGATGCTTACTGTCATACTGATATATTTTTGACGTAAAAATAATCAATTGATTGTTTGCTATTCAGATTATTATTTAGAATGACAAAAAATATAACTGTCTGTTACGATCAGATTAGTGTATAATGAATTACCTCTAACCCTTTCGGTCCTGGCGCCACCCCATAGAAAGAAAAGGCCAGGGTTAAGAGATTATGTTGATTTTCCAGTGTTTGAAAATATTATTCCGGAAAGCATTGATGCAACATAGTTTTGATAATCATCCTTGAAAGGATAGAAACATATTTGTCTTTATGTATATTCCTACATAGATTCTCATTGTGTAGATTAAATAAATTTCGATTAAACTTGAGAATATTTCTCTATAAAACATCTTTTTATCTAAATCGAACATACTTTTTAGCAAATATTAATTTCTTTTTCTTTCCGCTCATATGTATTTGTGATTAGTACACTCGATAGATCTATAAGGTCATCTCGGTTGCAATATTATGTTAATTGGATATTACTTTCAGCTAGAATTCATCCTATTAATAATTTCCAAACTCAACCTTAACACATCATATCCTTAAGACACATCATTATAATCTATTTAACAAATTTTTTTAGACATGTTCGTCTATGGAATATTCCTGATAAGCGTGTCGTTCATTGGACTTTAATACCAGCGCAAGCATCATCACAAATAACTGCTGCTCAAGCTAATTTAATAACAGCTGTTAATTTTTGTGATGACGGTCGTAAAGTAACAGTTGGAACATTTGATGGTCGATTTTTACTTTATACTGATTCATTACGCTATGATGTAACACTCATTGTTTAGACATTTTTTACATATATATATATAATTATTTACTCATTTAGACTGTAATGAATATTGGTGATAAAGATGGTAGTCGAAGTCATCGATCAAGAAAAAAAAGACGAAAACCATATAAAATTACTGGCATTGAATCAATGAATTCTAATAATTCAAAAGTATGATTGATGAATATATATGTATATTTGTAAATAATATTCTTAGGTATTAATTACATCAAATGATTCTCGGATTCGTTTATATAATATTCGAACAAAAGAAATTGAACGTAAATATCGTGGTTATTCTAATCAATCAAGTCAAATTCGAGCATCTATAAGTCCTGATGATCAATATATTATTAGGTATTATCTAAAACTTTTTCGTTTTTTTTTTTCTATTAACATTATACATTATTCAGTGGAAGTGAGGATAGTTGGTTTTATGTATGGAGAACTGAACCAAGTATAAATGGTAATGTCACATCTACAAATGCGAAATTAACAAAAAAACAACGACGCTATTTTGATCGTGCTTATGAACGTATTCGAGGTGATAAAATAACAATCTGTTGTTTTTTTCTATTTTTTTCTATTCTTTAGTTCATAATACAATGGTAACTTCAGCAATTTTTGCACCAAATCCAGTAGTAATTATGAATCAATTATATTCAACAAATGATTTTTCACCTATGACAACTCGTTCTACTCTTCCATCCCAAACTCCAGTTTTAAATAATAGTAATCGAACACGATTTAGTTGTTTATATAATTCAACAAATTCATCAGACGGATCTATATCATCAAATATTAATGGCCCTATTTATGTCATGGTTACAGCTGATTCCAAAGGTCAATTGAAATTACTTATTAATCGATATCATCGTTAAATATGCTCAATATTGTTGTGATAAATAATGCTGTCAATAATAAAACAGTGATAAATATTAGATTTTTTTTCTGATAATTATAAAAAAAAGAAGCAGTTGTAGTATTTTTTTTCCTTGTTGTGACTGAAGTGAGAAATTTAACATGTCTTTCAGATTAACTCCGTGTGTGTGTGTGTGTGTGAGTGTTTTTTTATTTTAATTCCTTCTTTTGTTATTATATATGAAATCTATATATATATACATACTACGAATGAGAACAAAGAAACGAAATAATTAATTTTTCTTACCTTGTTTTTTTCTTTCTTTTAGAGAATATAAAGAAGAAGAAGAAGAAGAAGACGATTTAGATTAAATTTCATCGCATGATAAACATTTCTAGTGCAAAAATATGTAAGTGACTTTTTGTAAAAGAAAACTATTAATAAATAAGATAGAGTTCTTTTTCTTGTGACCTTTACTTCGTACAAATTCTATCCTTCTTAATCTATAATCGCCGATGGGCAAGTGTGTCTATATGCATGTATGTTTCAATTGCTTTGCGCGCATGCGTTCTCTTGCCGATAACTACGACTATTTTCCATCATCATCATCATCATCATAAATGCATCCGTGTGCGTTATATTTGATAGATTCGATAAAAAACAAAAAAAAAGAAAGTATTAGTTGGACAGCGGGTGGAGAATAAGAAAAAATGGCATATTGTCTATATGTGCGTGCATTAGACAGCGACATGCAAGCTTATTTTTTATTTTTGTTCTATATCATTAGAAGTTAGCCGAAGAAGAAAATTCTCCGTATTTCTTAATTAAGCATTACGATATTTATATATTTTGAAAAAGAAAACAAGAGAAGCATACATCCGATCATTTTCCTGCCGAGTAAGTAGTTAATAAAAATGATGAATGTCTCTATTTTTTTTAATGTCGTGTTTCATGGTTAACGTCGAACATCTGTCAGTTGATGAGTTGTAAATGTTTGATCATGGTAATTACTCGTGCCAACTGAATTTTCTTGCTACATACTTAGAAAACTATTTATTTTTTTGTCTTCTTGTCATTTCCCTTCGAGGTGGTTTTTTTTTGAACGACTATTTAAATAGTATTTAGTAATAGGTCTATAGTATTACTAATGACAACAGGTGGCTCCTACTCATCATTTTTTCTCTCTCTATGTGATCCGTTTGACATTATTCATATGAGTGATAATGTTTATTTTTTTTCTTGTTATTTTATCTATATATATATATGTTAATATCTATTAGTAAAACCTTCGATATAGAATTTTGTCATTATTTTATATTAATGGTACTACGTGCGTATAGATTTTTCTTCTAAAGATACTTAAACATCATCTATCTTATAAAGTATATTTTATAATAAAAAATAAAAAAGGAAGACACACATATTTATTCAGTCATTTAAATGACATTCATATATAAGTAATAGATTTAATTGCATAGTATATACATGAATATGTGTGTTATTCTGACAAGATATAGGGAAAAAGAGAATAGAGAAGAAAAAAAAGAAAATCGATGATTGCAATATAGTGTTGCTATGTGTCAAAGAAGCATAAGGCATAAAGGCGTCATCATCAAGAATAACGATTCTTCTTTGTTTTTTTTTGCTTGCTCGTTTTTTCTGTCTACTGTACGAACGAGGTAGAGAGAATAGAAGAAGAAGAAGGAAAGAGTTATAACTACAATAGTGTCGGCAGTAGTGTGCTAGAGATAAGTATCTCTCATCAAATCATCATCACCACTAATATTTTTCCATAAACTAGCAATCGTGCAGAAGTTATTTTTTTCTTCACCATTGGTTTCCTCTTGCGTCTAGTAACAATTCATTAAATAAATGTGTGCGCGTACACACATGTATAGAGATTTGTTTTTTTTCTTCGACTTTTTATATCATATACTAATTATGTGCATCAACCTTGTGATCTTTTTTTTCTCACTCGATCTATACATCTATAATCTGACTCTCATAAATGAGGTCATATAACACATCTGTTCCCTATACGTACCGATATATATATATATATATATCGAGGAATTTGTTATTTCGATAATGCCTTTAGATAAATACCAATCATAACTGCTGTATAAGCATTATAATGTACAAAGATTTATTTTTTATCGATAAACGATAATGAGTGACGAAAAAATATTTTCATTAAATCAATCAAATGTTCGATTCTTATTTATTACGGCTAATACGGGTTCAATATTTGAAAAGGTATGAACAAAAATTCTATTATTTAATTTACTACTATTTTTTCTTGTTTTAGCCTGAGTTATTATCCACATGGCTTCTCGAATTTGGAAATGTAAGTAAACTAAAAATTTATTTTTGTTGTCCAGCTGAATAATTAAATGAAAATGAACGTTGTTGATTATCTCCACATTGACAATCACAAAATATTTTATAATTATTTGATTGAAAATTCTTTAAGAGCTTTTCAAATATACCTAAATCTGTTGTTGATAGTATTCTACCTTGTGTAATTTTTTTTGCCTAAAAAAACATATATTTATCTTAAATAATGATTTCTAATATACATACCGAACAATCACAAGAACAATCAAGAAAACATGCACGAAATTTATCATCTTCATATAAATCTGGTTGATATTTTAATAGATCATCTGTTTTATTTCCATTCGTATTAAATATACAATCATTTGTATCATCTATTGTTGATGGTTTTTCAGAAATTATACATTCATTAGTTTGATTAGGCTTAGTTTTATCAGTTGATAGAATATTTTTAATTTGTGTTGTAGCATTTTGAAATAGATTAAAACTTTTATTTGACATAATTTAAACCAAAAAAAGATTAAGCGCGAAGAATTCTTTTTATTTCGAATTCTTTCTTTTTTAGCTTTTACGTCGTCATCCATCAGATTTTATAGCATTACATTGTCAAGAAGTTGGCGGAAAAGATTATGAAAAATATATGCATACATTGGATCAATTTATCAAGTAATTGATATTTATATTTAAGATTTATTTTATAATTATTTTTTTTTGAAGTGATTTATTACAAATACCTGAATTATCTTCGGATTTTAATCGTCATCGTTTATATTTTGATTCTGATTATGGATCTCAGGAAACATTTACAGTAAGTAATTGTAATTTAAAGGTAATATATTCTATTCTATTTGTTTTTAGGCACTTGGTTGTGCATATTTTATTCGTCAAAATCTTTCTGTACAACAATGGAATTTTACAAGTATAATGAATGAATGATTAGAAAAGTTTTAATTTTTCTTTTTCGAATTATTTAGATTCAACATTTCAAAGTGTTGTTAATCGTCATATTTTTGCCGGTAGTTTGCGTAATGTACAAACATTACGAAAAGAAAAATATCCTCGAGAATTCTTCCCGGAAGTAAAATAAAACATATAATTTTTTTTCTGTTTAATTAGAAAAAAAATATATCTGTCTTTAGGCAAAATGGTCTCGAAAAGGTACTACACAAACTCGTTGGTTAATAAATGGCTTGTAAATATTTTCAAAAACATCAAATAATTCTTCAATTCTTTTTTTCTATATTAGTATTTTTGACTTACTCAATGTACACCTATTCCATGACGCCTCAAATCTTTTAGCAGCTGAACGAAGTCCATCAATCTATAGTAAATGTCGTCGAAATGCATTAGAATACACATTACAAAAGTATGCAAAACATAATTTTTCTTAATTAATAATTTTGTTAATTATATCTTATTAGTTTACCACTTGATCCATCTGGTAAACATGTACCATATGTTATATTTGGTGATTTTAATTTTCGATTAGATGCTCATCGTTTAGTTGAAGTAATTGTTTTTTTTTGGTCTAATTGAATAAGAAAAATAATTTATTCTATTATAGCATATAT